CATTTTCGTCCGCTGTTACACGGGGATGATATTAAATATTTTCATATTCTAACCTGATCAGACGACAAAGATGATTGAACTGCACGTAGAAAACGTCCAAGACTTAACTCCCGAGGACGGTCGCGTCGCTGAGAACTGTCCGGAGAGAAGCGCCGATGGTTCGTGCGCCGTGGAAGCCTACACTCCCGGTACCGGAATCACGGTGCAGAGTTCCGCTACCGTAAATGACGAACCAGTGCCTAGTCCAGGTGGAAACGCTGAGGATGGGAATCCTTTTGGAACGACCGTCAACGAGAATAGCGCAGCTGTAGCAAACCAAACCCGAGCACTAACCAATGTGATGTCATTATCGGTTCAAGAACCGGCACGGAACGTTTTGGGTAAGGAGTGGCTTTATTTTTTCGTATTTTTCTCATCTATTTGACGAAATCAACAAACAATAATTTTAATTATTAACAAAAAAAAAAAACCGCGTGGTGCAACACCGTGTAACAGCTGCAGATGTTTGCCCGATGTACATTAATTGTTCTCGGAGCAGTTGGCCCATTCGTACACTTCTGATATGGAAGCCGTTGGCGGACTGTAACGATTCCAAGCTCGCACTGCGCTTGCCACACCGCCGAACCAAAGCGGATAGATACAAAAAATGTGAAGTCACCGAGGAAATGCCATTGGAGTAGTTACCGGTGTTCTTGTTATATTTTACTTGTTCTTATTTTATTCGAAAAACGTCAATATATCTCGTAACGTCTAACATCTTTGGCGAAGACTAAATAGAATAGGTAGTTCACTTTTAAAAAAAATTGTATTTCATTGTATAACGTTACATTTATAGTTGATTTATTAGAAAATAAAGCTTACATCCTATTTTGCTTTTCTAGAACTATAAAGAAAGATTACAGTTTAAAATTATTATTATAATTCAAAATAAACAAATTGGAAATTACTGTTGTAGAGGTTTTTAGTATGTGCATTGATAAGCTAGGTATCAACGGTTAATTATGAATCGATTCTCGTCATAATTATAATTCAAAATGTGTTATAGTTCATATAGAGTATGGAATGTACACTGAAAAAAAAACCTTGGTAAAATTGATGAAAATCTAGATTGGATTAACAATTGTATTGTCAATATACAACCCATAAAGAAATTTGTTGAATGAACAAAATCAAATTGTTAATTAGTAAACATTACAAACATTTTATCATTTTGATAAAAGTCTTATTGTTTTGATAATACACTATCCTTGTGTCTATCATGATATGTGATCATTTCAACAAAATATTTCATTAGCACACCATAGTATTTTATAATTAGTATTATTAATTTTATCAACTCAATAAAATATTTCTTTTTGACCGATCAAATAATTTGTTACCATAATATTTCTATAATCAGTCTGATCAAATGTAAATTGTTGTAAGAATAATATATTTTATGTCAACAACAATACTGATTATCAATATGAATAAAAACAGTTTGTTGTAGGAACAAACCTAAATTAATAGGTAGGTATGCAAAGAAATATTTAAAAAAAAAGTAATATGATTTAAATAATTGAAATACTTTTTATTAAATTATTAAAAATATAAGTAACATATACAAAGATATAACTAAAAATGCAAAAAAAGGTAATACAATACAAGGTACATAAAGTAAGTTATATATTTACATATTAATAGTACACAAATTGTGTAGGGGTACTTGTTAAAGTATAAATATATTATAATTAGTAGCCAATAGTTGGCATACATGTTAATAAATAAAAAAATATACAGTTATACATTATATATATAATTATGTATATATTAACTAATGTATAAATTAAAACAGACATAACAAGTAAATTTAAATTAATTATAAGTGTATTGTATTATAGGTAATGTGTGAAGATATTGAATTTAAAGATTATTAATAGACAAATAAGAAATAGAACAAATAATAATTAATAAGTATAATAATTTAGAGAAACTAAAGACTTCTGTCTTATTTTAGATTTTACTCCAGATAAAGCACATAGAGATCAATTTGCTGTTGTTGTTAGATACTATAATAAAGGGTTAGTTGTTGAGCGATTCTTAACATACATTCATATATTAAGCCATACTGGTATTTCAATGGCTGAAGAAGTAATACATTATTTGGAAAAAAATAATATTAATTTGCAATATTGTAGACGTCAATCATACGACAATGCTAATAATATGACTGGTAATTATGAGGGTTTACAGGCTAAAATAAAAAAAAAAATGTAGTGTTGCTTTATTTGCACCTTGTTTTGCTCATTCCTTAAATTTAGTAGGGTCACATGCAGTGAAAAGTTGTTTAGAAACAATTAATTTTTTTTAGTGTTGTTCAAAAATTTTATGCATTTTTGCAACCTCAACACATAGATGGAATTTGCTTTTGACTGGTCTAAAATCGGAAAATAAAAATAAAATAATCGTTTTGAAAACTTTAAGTAATACTAGGTGGGAGTGTCATGCGGAGTCTTGTAAAGCTATTATGTTAAATTATGACCAAATTATATGTATATTAATAGATATTTTTGAAAATGTTAATGAAAAACAAGAAAATCATCATGAAGCAAAATCAATGAAAAATAAAATGATAAAATTTAAAACAGCTTTTATGGAAATTACAAGTATATGGAGTGAAATTTTATTGCAGTTTAACAGTGTTAGTAAATACCTTCAAAAACCGGGAATAGATTTATTTATAACCGTAAATTTATTAAAAGGATTAAAAACTTATGTTAGAAGTTTATATATTTTGAAAAACAAAGCAAGGGTATAATCAACAAATATTCTGCCCTGTGCTGAAAAAAGTGTAAAAAAAAATTCTCTGATGGTGCTATTGAAGTAAATTCAAACTTTTATGGTATAAGAAAGTTAAAGATTGATACTTTTTACGTTATTATTGATCACTTAGTAACTGAACTTGATAAAAGATTAAATGCATGTGATAATGTTCCTTTGTAATATTTTTGAGTTTATTACAAAATTTGGTTTAGAATTATTATCAGACTTCTGCTGACATATTCATTAACACATTTAAAGATAATATTGATACAACTAATATAAAACAAAAGATTGTGCACTTTTCAAATTATGTAATGCGGTTAAATTTACCAATAATTACTCCTCAAAATATTTACCTATATGTACATGAAAATAATTTAAAAGAAGTCTTTCCAAATACAACATTTTTCTACGAATTTATTTAACTTTGCCAATTTCGAATTGTGAAGCAGAAAGAACAAATTCAAAATTAGAACTTATTGAAAACGCCAGAAGAACAACCCTTCACCAAGAAAAATTAAACTCACTCGTTCGTCTATCTGCTGAAAGGGAAATAACTGACAGATTGGATTTTTCAGGTCTACGAACCATCAAAAATATTTTACGACCCATTATAGGGTCGGGACCAATAGATGAAAAATTAGTAAAATTAATTAAAAAAAACTTACCACTGCCACTTTCCATGTACATTTCAAATATTTATTTCAACGGAAGAGTAAACCAACATGAAAACCACAATAAATATTAACACAGTATTAAAAGAGTATGAAAAATGATTATATCAGCAACAATTACTCGAAATTATTAACATTTTTTTAGAAGTTTTACGGCTTGGAAATTTCTTTATACTATCAATTAATTTAAATTTTCAAATATTTTATCTATCGATCAATGATAATGTATACATACGTTATGGGTAACGCGAACCCTACTCATGCTTATTGAACAAAGTAAACATATTTGTAAAACGTTTATTTTATAGGTACATTAACCGAGTAATTGGTATAGTACATACTTTTGAGCCGACAAAGTTTTTTCATAAAATAAAATACAACAAAACATCAACTGTTGATAATATTAAAAAAATACAAGTATAAATTGTACATTATGATAATCGTGTGCATTGATATTGAGTAATTTTTAACTTCACTATGGTGCTATCGGTTTTCGAGTTCACTAATTCGGTTTATTAATGTTCGTTTTTTTAATTTTTTTTTTTTTTAAAAACTTGTCCTCTTAAAAAGAGAAATCTTATAAGTTTTAATAAATTCATGAATGAAAATAATGAATATTTGGTAAATTTAGCGGAATCAAAATATTATGACATATTATCTGAAATAAGAAACGTGATAAAAAACAGATAAGTTATAATAAACCATTAATAAATATAAGTATCGGATACAAAAAAATCTTTATGTAAAATAGCTAATGCACAACCTCTTTTCGGTGGTACTACTTTTAAAAAATTTTTGTGTAAAAATAATTGTTTAACAAATAAATGTACAAGTAAATGTAAATTTGGGGGGATATTTAGCCACCCAAATCTGAACTATTCCAATAAATAACACTAATTATAAAATGACAGATTTTCATTAATACATATAATAAATAAATAATACGGCACGTCTTCGATTAAGTTGGTTATATAAACACCTTATATAACACCTTTTGTTTTTTTCATGAATTAATTTGATTTATGATAAATATGATGTGGACAAAATATTTTAGATTTAGCCCCTTCCCCATGTAAAGTACTGTCAGATTTTTCGAACCCTTCCTCCTGATGTCATACTTGAATGCTTCCTTATAGTTAAACTAAATATTGTTAACGGGAGTATTCTTTTAATTAAATCTCTAAAATTAACAAACAAGGCCACATTGAATTCAGTAGCTTATTTTCTTATTTGCATTTAAAATATTTTTGTACCAAATACATTACAATATTAAGTTTACAATATACATCTTAAAATTATTTTTTGTGATATAGAAAACATTTTAATATTGTTATATATATATATATATATATATATATATATATATATATATATATAT